ATAGAATTAAGTTTAAAAACAAACTAGCTATTACAAACCTTTTTATGAACGCATAGTGTTTAAGACGATTGACCGTAACGATTGTACCTCGAATACCTTTTTCTAAAGATAGAAATATTCTTTTTTTAATGTTCAAATTTTGAAATTCTATTACCAAAAAGAACTGGTTCATTATTACCAGAAACAAGTCCTTTACTATGATCACGAGTAAATGATTTATTATTACTACGAACAAATGTTCTATTATGAACACGAATAACAGGTTTGTTTTTAGCAAGAACAAGTGGTTCAATATTATCAATTAATGATTTATAATCATCAAGAATTACTGGTTCATTAGCACCAAGATTTACTGCTTCATTAGCACTAAGATTTAATGGTACACAAACTATTGAACTTGTATTTTCTTTGTCCATTAATTGATTAGATTTATTCTTTTTGAATCTAAAATATTGACGGATAAACAAAGAAATATTTCAAAACGTATTACTTTTCTTTTTTATTTCAATAAAGCAGAATAATTTTATTTAATCAAAACCTTTTTGATAGGTGAAGTTTGTATTTAAATACAATAGGAGTTGAGGATCTAAAATAATATAAAATATGCTAATGATCAATTTCGGATTGTTATCGGAGGTTGACTCTGTTATTGAATGAACTAAGAAAATAAGATACAAAAGTAGGTAAGAAAATATTACTAGAAGGAACTATTTAACCTTTGACTTTATCAGCTACAAAATCACGGACTTAGAAAACCTCCAAATCACTAGTCACCTGAGACATATCTAGGCACATTTGTCTTGGAACGCAGTTTTTGAGCATTTTAAGACATTGTTTAGACGACTTTTAATTAAAACAATACAATTTGGTGTGAAACTAATATCATATTCGTAATCAGCGTTGAAAACTGAGTCGATTCATATATATTTTAAATAATTCTGAGAAAAAGTTTTTTTTTGAAAAATCCCTGTACCCCTCCTCAGGGATGGTCTGATCAATAATGACAATTTTTTTAATATCTCAGCCATTTCTCGACAAATCATTCTCATCTTCGAACTCGGCCGAGATAATGATGAGATACTTCTGTGCACAAAATTTCACCTCAATCGGATGTAGTTGTGAAGATTTATCGTGTAAACGGCCGGCCGGCCGGCCACACTGACCGATTCTATAGTGTACTCACTTTTTGAGTACACAAAAAAGGTTTCGTAAGAGATGGTTCTGCTAGTGGGTACTCCGCAGAACCTCCAAAAAGCTCTGTCGAATTTTTTATCCTTTTTTCGAGACTTTGGACACATTTGGATGCTTTTACAAATCTACAGAACCTTTTCGGGGGGTTCTGCAAAACTCCTTTTTTTTTAGAGAGTACAAAAACAAAAAGTGATGTTGTTGGAAGGTATGACATCAAGAATTTCTCATCTTCATAGAAGAGATAGTGATATTAGCAGTGACGAAGCTGATGAACTGGTGCCAAGCAAAAAACAACGAGTTTCCAGTATTCATTCTTATGCAGATAAAATATCAAGTACGAAATACTTATGTTCTGTGTGCTCCAAGGTACTAGATTTTTAAGCATTATCATTGTTTTATAGCCCCGATCATTTGTTTAGGTTATTCGCTGTAGTGTTGGTTCAAATGAAAATATCCGACGACATTTAGTTAACGTGCATGGTTTACTTGAACTTAAATCAAAAAATGATGAAATCGAATCAAATAATCAATTTGATGCATATCGTAAAGCTATATTAGATGAAGCTGCTATTAATTGTATTATAGTTGATAGTAGACCATTTGGAGACTTCCATAAGATGGGTATGTCTGCACACACATTTTCTTTTTTCAATTTTGAATATACAATTATTGTCGGTTTACATTCAGGATAATTAAATCTTTGTATAGTGCTCTGTTTCCTTTTAAAAACGACGTGCTTTTTTCTATCGAACGAATTGCATAGTTTTAAGTCATTCATTAAGATTTTTGTTTTTCGACAATAATCCAATATTGTTCGTCTAATTCGAGGAGATTTTTTTAACAGATTTCTAGACTTTCAGAATCTGTTAGTGTTCATGCAGTCCTTGTGGATAGGATTGTGTGATTATACGTAAACTTGTGTCATGTTTCGTCCGCACCATAGCTATTTTTGACAGTTCTCTAAAGTTCTGAAACCAATTTGTTCTGATATAAAGAAAAATACATCTGCAGAAAATCGTTAAAATGACTTCTTGTTTTCTTAAGAGAAGAATATTAATCCGGATATCAAAAGCTATCGTTTTTCTGACTGTCTCTCTCTTTTATAAATCGTCTAACAAGATTGGAAACATCTTACTGGAGGTCAACTCTTCCATGGCAAAAGTGAAAAGTTGTAAATTATAACAAAATCTGCGATACGAAGAAGATATATATATATATATGACTATGGTATAGGGGTGTTAATCTATTTTTATTTTTATTTTTATTTGTAATCATAACTAGTATGAACAAAAACTTTATATTCATAAAATAAAGGTTAAACAAATTCTTGACGTCAAAAAGATAAATATAAAGAAATAGTATGTCGTCTGAAGATCTGTGACTACTGCCCGTTTCAAAATAAAAGGCACCTGGCCATTTTTTGAATAATTTTCTTTCAGTACAAGATATAGAGCTACGGTTTTCACCATTTGGAAAAGCAATACATGGGCCATCGATCTGTATAAAACTCATTAGGGCGAAAGATTCGTTTTCATAGAAAATTATGGATTAATCTTTTTTCTATGCATATTTTCGTCAATTTTCACAATAATCTCAACTCAAATTATGTCGAAATGTAGCTTAAGTCATACTTTTTTCACTATAAAATCATTACATTTTCGACCAGTTCTCGATCTCTTTTACAAGGCGAATTATTGAAGAAACTTGCACCATTTTATAGTGAAAAAAGTATGACTTAAGCTACATTTTGACATAATTTGAGTTGAGATTATTGTGAAAATTGACGAAAATATGCATAGAAAAAAGATTAATCCATAATTTTCTATGAAAACGAATCTTTCACCCTAATGAGTTTTATACAGATCGATGACCCAGGTATTGCTTTTCCAAATGGTGAAAACCGTAGCGCTACATCTTGTACTGAAAGAAAGTTATTCAAAAAATGGCCAGGTGACTTTTATTTTGAAACGGACAATAGTTGCAGTTCTTCCATCATCAGATAGTTTCAATTCCATTACTGAGAAAAAGACTAACGTGCATGTTCATCTGATCCACTAATACTTATTTTTCATTGATCAAAATCGATTTCAATTAGTTCATTTATTGAGGGTTTCAGTGGAAGAGGAAAAGATTTAGTTTAATTATAAAACGATAAAGCATAAATTTCAATCATATCAAGAAAAAGAAACATAATAAACAGCATTGCTTGTATTAAGCCCCCTCCCTAAAAAAAAGCCACTTTTCGTCAGAATCATTAATATTGAGATAAATGCATAGGAAGATAGCCCGTGATCTGATCTTTCATAAATGACGAAAATTTTTTATCGGCACCTCGTTTTTTCCAAAAATTGTTGAGGATTTCCGTCATCCCCTATTCGAAAAATAAGCCATTTCTGGAAAAAGCCGCAAATCTTTTTCGTTTTTTCTCGGTTTATGATTTTTTAATTTTGCTTCCAAGATTTCTCGGTCCAGTGTCTTTCAATAAATATAAATTTTTTTTTTGCTTGAAAGAGCACATCAAGATGCAGGGCACTGCAGAGTCCTTTTTTTAATTGAGCTTTGTTTTTTATTATATATACAGACATTTATGTAACTAGACACCCATTTTTGGCGCGTTTTTTGAGTCATTGAACTTGCGATCTCCTTTCTCCGCTAAAAAAGTAAGAATTAAAAAAAAGGACTCTGTGGTGCCCCGCATCCTGACATGCTCTTTCTAACAAAAAACAAACAAACATATAGTATGAGCCTAGACCGAGAAATCTTGGAAGCAACATGAGCTATTTTTGACCCTTGTTTGGTTCATATCTCTGTCAAACGTCAGGGTATTGAGCTGAAAATTTTACCACAGCCTCTTCACTTCAGCCCCAACATACGCTCCAAATTTCAGTCCATTTGAACATACCTGGACTGAGATCGGTTTTTGAGTGGAGGGGAGCCTTAACGCAAACATAGTGCCACCCCTTTAACTGCAATGCTTTAAAATAATAAAAAGGCATTTTAGAATATACTGGCTGAAACTTCTATTAAAATCAAATACCATCTGAAATAGATATTTTGTAAAAAAAAAATTATTTAGGTATAAAAAAATTTATTTAGGTATGAAAAATTTTTTGTCAACAGCATTACTAGGATATGTCGGTCTACATGAGAATACAGTTAAAAGGACGATTAAAAAATTATATTCAACGAAATTGTTAGAATTACAAGAAGAATTAAAACAAGTACATTATGTTTGTTTAATGGCCGACTTATG